AGTCATCAGTCAGTCATCAGTCAGTCAGTCATCAGTCAGTCATCAGTATGGCGATGTTAACTCTGTGCGCTGTCGTTGGTGAGTACTGAATGTCTTTGAGTGATTTACGCTGATATTGAGCCTCAAAGGTTCTCTGCATCCTTATTTCTGCATCTCGTAATAACTGAATGAAACTCCAGCAACTACCCTTAATGATCCTCACTGTGTACCTTCTTTATATTTTTAGCATTTTGCATATTTGCAATATTTTCCACTAGTGATAAACCAAATGCTAAATAATATATTTTATATTGGGAACACAAAGAGAACAACAACAACAACTCCTCCGCCTGAAGTTTATCTCTCAAAGCATCTGCAGAGACGAGCAGCAGCTTCGCCTTTAAAATGTTACTTTTTCTTATTGTGGTTTCACGCTGAGAGCAGCTACTTTCACACAGTTGATGGTGGGCGATGTGTGAAGCTCTGGTTGCATCATCGTGGAGTATTATGTATTCTGTGTATTGTTGTTAATAGTATAAATAACTTCCCATCGACCCGGACAGCGAACACAAAGCTGTTGGGTTCAGAACTGACGCCTGAAACAAACACTGAGAGAAGCCTCAGTGTTTGTTCAGAATAACATCCGTAGTGAAAGGAAGAAGCCGGCGAGCTGCCGAGCGGTCGCTTGTTATCTGCTGAGGTGGTGCAAACGATGCAAATCTGTGTTTTCTTGCAGCCGCTCTGAGAGTTCTGCCCGACAGATCTCAGTTCTTCCAGTACGAGTCCGTCTCTCTGAGCTGTGGGCAGGAGGGAACCTCTCCTGCCTGGAGGGTGAAGAGGAACACATCCACTAATATAGACCAAGAGTGTTCCTCGGAGAGAACCAACGAATCCCACTGCTTCATCGATGACCTGTACCCACTAGACAACGGGGCGTACTGGTGTGAGTCTGCAGCAGGAGGGTGCAGCGACGCCGTCAACATCATGGTGACCGGTGGGTTTAGATACAAGGACAGTTATTCAGACCAGAGATTCACCTCCAGACGTTCTCCTCTGACGAGCTGAACAAACAGAGGTCTCTGGTCACCATAGTTGGAGAACGCTCACAGTTTCCAACATGCCAATTCAAAAACAAGTCGTCAACCTCCGGTTCTTTAAAGTGAAGTCAAAGCTTCATGTGTTAAAGCTGCATTCTCTCTGCTGTCCACCAGGGGGCGACTCCTCTGGTTGTATAGAAGTCTATGAGAAAATGACTCTACTTCTCTCTTGATTTATTACCTCAGTAAACATTGTAAACATGAGTTTATGGTCTCAATCTCTAGTTTCAAGTCTTCTTCACTACAGCATGATGTTCATTTAGTACATTATGGTCCATTTAGAGTCACACAGACCATAAAGCAGGGGATGCTTTAGGGCGGGGCTACATGGTGATTGACAGGTTGCTTCCACGACGTTGTCAGGTCTGAGAGTTGCCCGTGTTTTTGTCTTACAACTTTAACCCTTTGAGTTAATTAGTTTGTTGCACAAGACCAAGATGGCGACGGCCAAAAACAAGACAACGCTACAAAACTTTGTTAAATTTAGGCAACAAAACTACTTATCTACGTTTTTTGTAGAATGGACTTCTGTTCGGACTTCAAGGTGCTTGGAGGAGGTAAAGAGTCTAGAAGAGGAAACACGTTGGACAATAAAGTTGTTTTTCAGACTTCACGTCTTGCTGGAGCTTTGACCTCTTCAAGTGAACTATCTTCTTGTCTCGTCTCTCAGCTGGACTTGTGATCCTGGAGAGTCCCGTCCTCCCCGTGACGGAGGGAGACGACGTGAGTCTCCGCTGCAGAACCAAGTCGACCTCCAACCTCACAGCCGAGTTCTATAAAGACGGCGTCCTCATCGGGAGCAGCTCCACAGGAAACATCACCGTCCCCGGTGTCTCTCAGGCTGATGAAGGACTCTACAAGTGTGCCGTCTCTGGAGCCGGAGGATCTTCAGAGAGCTGGCTGACTGTCAGAGGTGAGGACAGCCAATATTCTGAGATTTATCCAGGCTGTGTTCAGCACAAAGACAGCCGCAGAGACAGAAGTCTGTTTGCATCGAGGCCAACCTGTGGTATTTCTGTTGTGAAGCAGGCCGCCCTGAGCCGCCGGACTCCCCCCTCGCAGGCTTTCTGCTTCCTGTGGTGGGCGCCTGCCTCTCGCTGCTGGTGCTGCTGGTGCTGCTCTGCCTCTGGAGGAGCCACAAAGGTCAGCAGCCTGTTTTCATGTCAACAAACTAACCTTCTCAACATTCTGCTGTTTCAGCGATGCTTCTGTCGAGGAGGTCGCACGCCGGAACGTGCTGAGCGTGGAAGCTTGTTGTTGGATTTGGAAACAAGTGAAATAAATAGCAGATTCATTCTGCTGCAGAAAGGCCACGACAAGCAGTCAGACGCTGCAGAAAGAGGCCGCGCTTCAAACTGCAGCGAACATATTCAGATTCATTCACAGGTTTTTGTGGTTTCTGAAAAAAAGGAGAAATGATGTTTAACACAAAAACTAAATCTACAAAACAATTCTAGAACGGGTTATTCCCGTCCATGTAAACACGGACTTGTGCTCGTGACCTCAGCACCAGCTGTAAACTAGGAGATCTGTCAGCAGCCTTTACAGTAAAGACTTTCGTTTAAAAGGATGACGCTGTAGCACCAACAATCCACTTGCACAGATTTCCACATTAATATTTGTCTTCCAGACACCTGAACGTAGAAGAAGTTAAAGTCAAATGGAGTTTGAGGAGCTTGTATTTAAACAGAAACATGACGTGAATGTGGTTTTTGTTTAGAAACATCTGTATGTGAAGTTTGTTCAGACTTCCTGAATGCAAAAAACAAAAGTATATTTTTATTCATCTGGTGATATTGTTACTAAAGAAAGTAAAGTGTTTGACAATTGATGAAGCTTTTCAGGCACAGAAAAGGACAACATGCTGTAAAGTAACATCTGTCTGTCCGTAGATGATGGACAGATGTGGAATCAGAGACATATTCACACTGTCAGTGTCTGTGATTTATTTATGACACATAAACATGTTTTAAAATGCTTTCTGTTCTTTAAAATTCACATCAAACACTAAACTGTTGCTGCAGGTAGAGTCGACCCTGATGTGTCGTACACGGACGTCACCATCACACAGGAAGCACAGACGAGCAGGATCAGAGGTAAACAAACTCCCATATTTAATAATAATAATAATAATAACAATAATAAATAACAGCAGCTGATAAAGAAGACGATAAACCTCAAATATTCATATGACATTCCATAAATAACAGTGTAAATCTGTAATACACTGGGTGTGTTTGTTGTTATCCGCCTGGAGATGGAAGTCCCGCCCTCTCTACGCTCCTATTGGTCCGTTTCTGTGTCAATGGAGCCCGTCACCATGGTTACATAGTAAACGAAGCAGTCGGCATTTCCTCATTCCTTTATCTCATCACGCTGACACAGTTTCTACTGTCATGGAATTTAAGTGACGACATGTGTTTAATAATAGCACAATGCATGGAAACACAAACACAGGAAGATAAATATTATGAGTATAAAATAAACCAGACAGTCTACCAAAGCATCTTGTGCATTCTACATTTGATAATCAGAGAGAGGACAGATAATTATGGTTTTAATGCAGATGTTTGGTTTTATTACAGCATTTAAAGCATCAAAGTAGACACATCTGTTGATATCCTCTTTAACAAACCGTCACAGTTTAAGGGGAATCCCTCCTTTGTTCTCTGTTTCTGTTTACAATAATGTAACATTCATGTTTGTGGGAATCGAACAGTGACATAGTGTTTCTATTATTCTGTCCACCGTGTCCTTCCTCCACAGACGCGGCCGCTGCTCCGACCTTCTACTCAACAGTGAAACCGGGAAACACCTGACAGGAAGCAACCAGTGTGTGAATCTATTCTGTGTGTTATTAAACAGGAGAAGCGTTGCATTGTGGGTTTTATAGGGAACTGAAGGATTAAAGCTGATTTTTATAATCAAACCTGCATCAACAAGGGAATAAAGTCTTATTAGTCAAATAAAAACTCAGTTTCATCGTCTAAATATAATGTTTCAGCTCTAAACTATGAAATCAATGTTTTCAGTACCAGACACGGATATCAGAATTCATTTTTTTAGTTTCAAACTTTGCTGAGAAAAGAAAAGCCGACTGAATAACAGCGACAGGCTTTTATCAAACACGGTTATTGTTAAAAGAAAATCACATTCATTCATTATTTATTATCAACACATCGCTCTCAGGATGATTCTCTTCTTCAGCGACAAAACACATCAAAGAACAAACAGACACACCGTCAGAAAGAACTCTTTAAGGGAACAAACTCTATAAATAATAACCGTTTACATCTGTTTATGAACATCAGTAAGGGTGCAGCTTTAAATGCGTAACATCTGTTTGAGTTTCTGTGGGTTACTAATAAATACTTTGTGAAGGAAAATATTTGACCTGACATCAGAGATGATCTTGAGTCCTATTTTTAGCAACACAGCATATTTGTGTGTGATAAAACAGGTACTTCCTGTTTCCTCTATTCACACACACTGAAACACACCTTCCCCTGAGTCAGCACTATTACATCCCTGATTGTATTGAAACTATAAACCTGCTGCAGGAGGAAATATAAGAATTGAACTGCTGTTTAGATAAGTTTAACCCAGACGTGACCTCCAGAACACCAAACCAACACTTCAAACATTAGATTCGTGACTCTGTGATGAACTCATCAAACATCACAAAGGAGCTGATATTTCCCTGAAAACTCCCTGAAGAATCTGTGAGTCATCCAGCCGCTCGTCTCTGGTTTCATGTGAGATGATGCAGTGAAGAGAAGATAAACTCTGGGGAATAACAGACATCTTGACTGTGATGAGAAAGTACTGCAGCATCATTATAAAGCAGCTTCGTGAGATACTCTGTTCATACCTCCGTCAGCACGAGTCCTACTGGTGGATCACCGTGATCATTACGACTGATTTAAAGCGTTTAAACAGACAAGATGGTGACATCTGCTGGACAATCTCTGTTATTGCATCTGTGAGGAACTAACGTGGTTACAGGTGAACCTGCTGAATGCTGATGGAGGATAATAAAGAAAGGAAAACAGAGAAGACACGTGAATGAAAAGCAATTATTTTGGGGTAAATATTGCAAACTGACAGAGTTCCCTTCATCATATTTAATGGGACGAACAGCCGACTGTGGTTGGAGAAGCTGAGTGACCTCACATCAAAGTAGACGATGCGTTCAGGTGTAACCAAAGTTAAAGGATTGTTAAGCTCTGCAGAGCTCTGAGTTCTCACACAACTTTACTGAATCATCAAATAAAGAGTTCAGGTGCAGACGCGTCTGTTTTATGTTTTATTTTGTTCATTAAGCACAATTACAATGTTCAACACGTTTATGGAAATAAACCCGTTAAAATGACCCGTTAGAAGAGACGGTTCATTTCAAAGGTCGAGTGAGTGAAAGTGAAACCTGCCCACCAGGTGGCGTGACTCGATCATTGAAGCTGCTGTTCATGAGTTTATTTAGACATTTGAGTGAATGTTTCTCAACGAAGTAGATTTCCACAGAGCTGATCTGAAGGTTAAACACATCCGGACATGATGCGCTGAACTGGTGTTCAGGTTCACACGTTTTACTGGAACGCTGTCAACTCGGCTGTGATGTCATTCCCAACTCTGACTTATTTAACTTACATAACTTTTCATCTTATACTTTGATTTATGATAAAATAACTGCACAAATGACATCCCATAATCCTCAGAATACAAACTAATGTACAGGATATCAGAGTAAAGTCATAAATCATAATGCAGCCATATCTATCTATCTATTTCTATAAATCTTTACTTGTATGTATTTATTTTTACATTTATTTATTCCTTGTTAAATTTAGTTATTTATTTCTGGCTGGTAATGTAACTGTGTAGATTGTTACATAGGAATAAGAAATGCAAACAATTATAAAGATTATTAAATAAAGCGTGTTTATGGAGGATGAAAGCTGCCAAAATAGAATAAACAAAAAATGACTTAATAAATAAATGAATATGCCAACAAATATACCAAAAACAAATAAAAAATACATATATGCATTCATTAATTGGTAAATTTATACTTCTGATTTTATTCGCCTCTTTTTTTTAAATATGCTTTTTTTGCATTTGTTATCCATTTTTTTAAATGTATCTTTTAATTTATTCATTTTTTGTTTTGCCAGGTTCCCTCCTCCATACAGTAGCTAAGAAAAAATACACTATTTTAGAAAAATGGAATAATAAAAATATAAGAATATTGCCTTCTTCACACTGATATTGGCCGATATATCTGCAATATCACAAGTTGAAGATCTTCTTCTTCATCATTCCAGTACGAGATCAGCTCTCCTTTTAGCATCAGCTCGAGCTGCAGAACAACCAGAGGAGAGAAAGTGTTAAGAGAGTGAGTGTGACTTCTTCTTCTTCTTTGTCTTCCTGCTTTCTACCGGATGTGGCTTCATTGCTGTTGCTGTGACAACCAGCTCTCACCCTTCCCGTCCAGTGAAAACCACGTACCTCCAAATGTGTTGATTTTTAATGCTAGTCTTCCACCGAAAACCACAGATTCAAACCCGTCATCAGCCACAAGAGAGGCCATCGATCACATGTCAGTGAAACACAAAATGAAGCAGCCGCATGAACATGAACAACAAAGACTCAATCTGTGTCTAGCTGCTAGTTCAGTGTAATGCTAAAGTAATGCTAAAGTAATGCTAAAGTAATGCTCAAACAGTCCAACACTGACAGGGAACATTTCACTGCATCAATTCTCAGAGGTGTTCTTACCTCGAGTCATCCTGCAGAACAAGTGTATGCACATTATGAGTATGGCAGTGTAGAGGATGAACAGCAGGATGGTACACAGCAGCCTGGGCAGAGACATGAGAGGAGGAGGAGGAGGAGGAGGAGGGACATCTGTAGGCTGAGGTCCCACTGTGAGGAAGAACAGGAGTTCCAAACATGAAACATAATCACTTCTGATCTCATTCAAATCTTAAATCAAATGTATCTTTTGTTTAATAAAGCCATATGAATACTGTCAACAGGAGGGCACAAGTAATAGAGATCGGTCTCATCGCTGTGGTTCTTCCAGTTAATGTAATGAGGTGTCCTCTAGGATGCTCTTCTAGTGGAGAAAACGTGATGACGTGCC